GGTACAGAGAATCAGAACCAACAATACCCAAGGCTCTCCAACTCCTTCTGCCTGAACTCAGCCCACCTCATCGCTCATCAGCATTCCCCACTAGCTCCCTTTAGCCCCAGGAGTTACATCAGCCTCCAGTGACTATCCCCAAACTCTCCAAAGTCCTATGTCCAACAGCCACAGAGGAGAGACCCCATTGGCCAAGCTTGAGTGAGATGTCTACCTCCAAACAACTGAGGTCAACTGAGGCCAGAGCTTGTGGCTAGTGGAACTGGCCTTGCTTGGGCCTGGTCTGGAGTCTTCCTTTTGCCGATCTCCTTCCTCTACCACACTGGTCCATGCTGGGAGGCTGCCTCCTATCTTAGCACCCTGGGATCTCCATATAGAAAACTATCAAGTTTCTTTTCTCTTTAATCTGTAGTGTGTCCCGAAAGAAGTTTATTCTCCCATATACTCCTTGTAAGAAGCCCATTATTCAGATTTTGTGGTTCAAACACACACAGTTTCACCAGCCATGTGCTCTGGACTGTTCCCCCTGTTTGCAGGACTCTGTCACTTTGTATAATATTTCTCTAATCTGGGCATTCTGCATATTTGCTACTTGGGTTAGTTTTCTATATGTATTTTAGCAAAGAGAATAATTTGATCAATTTGGGCTTTGATGGGTGAGTAGGAGTTCACTAGACAAAAACAAAAGACAAGGCATTCCAGACTTAGGGAGTAATAAGAACAAGCACCTGGAAAATACAAGACCATGGCCAATTTGGGAAACCTGGAAACGCTCAGGTGGCACTGAAGTCGCAGATATGAGGATGAGGGGAAAGCAAATGATGCTAGAAAGGCAAGATGTGAAAGGCCTTGAATGCCATTCAGGGGAGCGTGCCTTGTGCCCTGCAGGCACTAAGGAGCTATGGGAAGTCTGCAGCCTAACTAGAGAGACCAGGCCAGCACAGGAAAGCCCTGGGAAGACTCCTGGCCCACACCACCCGCTACTACAAAGGATACCCTCAATCCCCTCCCAAGTGAACCCACTGCCTTAGGAAGACAAAGCCAAGACATATTTCCAGAAACTGAGTCCAGGGGCAAACCTACCCCCCAACACACCCAGCCTTTTGGCCTTTAGCTGTGCAGCCAGGGCCAATTAGCAGGCCGAAAGGAAGGAGCAATCTGGGGAGGGAGCCGTGCACAGGGAAACATCGCTTCATAATTAGGTGGCCTAATCACCTGTGTAAATTGTGTATTTCTTATGATCGATGTGCTAACAGGCTCAGTTTTAATTAAGTTCTGCTGACTCGTTCTCTTTGAAGACCCACTGAAGGGCGAAGCATAACCTGCACAATTAATAATGGGAGAGGAGCATGTGGACAGGGGTGGCAGTTGCCTGCTGCCCTCATCCCTCTCCCCCCGGTGCCCCCGGTGCCCTTGACGGGCCACCTCACCTTCTCTGCCAAGAACCTGGCAGGGAGAAGGTACCAGGCCTGGACACGGGAACTCAAGGATTTTCTCGCTCTCAATCCAATGCTCCTTCAAGAATGATCCATCCTGCCTCAGAAATTGTCCTCTATAAGCAGGGACCCAGAACCTCCTGGCCCTCCCAAGTGATAAAGACTCCAGTCCCATGCACAGGGCAGCTCTACCAATGAACTTGTATTTCCAGCTTCTCGTCTAATGAGGTCCCTCTGGCTCCAAAATCCTCTATTCTGAGTTCTGTGCTCTCCCTTCTCTGTTCCAAATCACCCTGTTCTGCCCTCTCCCGCCTGCTTCTCTCTCGTTACTTTCCCTGGTCTTTGACCCCAACATCAGCCTTCCTGGCCCCCTCATAGCCTCCTCCTGCACACAGTGGGAAAGCTGACTATTGATTTTCATCCTTCCTGAGCCATCCCCTTGGATATTTCCCCATCCCACCCTATCCTGTGGACCATGGTCACGTGGCTCTGCCCAGAGTCCCCACCCAGAGCTCCTGGGCACTATCCCCTCCCCTGACATCTTCCTCCTCCCCAGGCACCTGCAGAGAGATGCGTATGGGGCAGTCCCCCCTTCCTCTTGCCATCCTGTGCTTCTGAGTTTCCCCAAGGCCATCACAGTTGATGCCATACCTGTTGGATACTTTCTTTCCCAGAGTTTTTAGCAACTGGAGGAAATTACAGTGATGCAGGGAGTGATCCAGTGGGAGACACTCTAGTTTCTGCAGAATTTTCTGTGATGATAGCAACATTTTGTATCTGCACTCTCCAACATGGTAGCCACTGGCGGCATGCCGTGACTAAGCCATGCCTACTGTGACTGAGAAACTAAACTTTTTGTTCCATTTAAATAGCCATGTGTAGCTAGAGGCTACCAAGCTAGACAGTGTAGCTCTAAGGACTTAAACTTTTCATGAGGTCCAGCTTCAAATCCTAAACTCACTCTGGATTCAGGTCCAGAGAGAATGGCTCTTGGCTTCCGGGTGGGTCCCTCCCACCCAGAGTGATCTCAGCTCCTGGATTCCTCTCCCCTTTACCCCTTGGATGTTTCTCAAGTTTGGGGTTATTTGGTCTGTTATAACATCCCATATAGGTCTACGTAAGGACATCGGTGTTGAGTATCAACACCCCAAGAACCCACGGTTCTTAGGGAGAGTCTTGGGCACTCTGAGTCTTGCAGGTTGGTCCATTTGGGACTCAGCCTCCATCTGCTATCTGTGTAAATTTAAGGCACCCCTCTATTCTTGCAGAGATCACTAGAGCAGTTAGACACACAAGCTATCATCATCATCTCTCAATGACAAATACTTTAAAAACACTTATCCTGAGAAGGTACAGTTCAAAGCTAGTAAGAAAAAAATTTTTTGCTAATGAGCCTATAATTTGCCAGGCAGCCCCTTCTCCGTGAGGTCAGCATCACACTGTTACTGTGCAGAACGAGGTTTAGATCCTCTCCTTCTTCACTTGACCTCCAAAATATGGTCTTTCAGTCCTGCTGGGAACGGGGAAAGCCATACTTTTCTTCAAAGCTGCTCCCTTAGTTACACAGATGGAAGCTTTGAAATCCTTATTTTACTAAGGAATCTAGTCTTAATCATGAACCTTCTTTGCTTAAGCATCATTCTGGGGGAAACAGGAGAGGTGGCTTATTTTTGTTACAATCTGTTTCTAGTCCTCTTTTCTCTGTATTGGTTCATGTTCTGTATTCTGTATTTCCAAAGGAAACCATTGCTGTCCCCAGCAAAGGGGCGGTTCTGGGCAGAGAAATCCAAACTTGTGTCCACCTCACATTGTTAGAGCAGTGACCACTACATACTCTGGGTCCTGTGCAAGCCTGCCTGTATCCCCCTACCTCACTGGACAACTCGAGATGCTTCCCAGCGGAAGACCAAGTCCTCATCTTTCTAAAATCCATTGCCTAGTGCAATGCCTGGAGCAAAGGAGTGTGTACTTAACAAAAATGTAGACGAATGAATGATAAAACTAATAAATTGAATCAAGATATTCGCAGTCAGAAAGATAGCCCAGGGCTAGAAAGATTAAGAAGGAATTTTTGGAGATTCTAAGAATGAATTCAGGTGTTGAAGAACGAATAGAAATTAGAATTGCAGACAAGAGAGAAGAGGTGATCCCAGTTAGAGTTGAATACCTGAGAAAAACCAGAGAGATAAGCACACATGCAGAGTGTTGCAGAGATAGTAAGCAGCCCACCTTGAATGAGGCAAGATGTGGGGTGGACAGAGTGATGGAGGCAGGGCTGGCTTCATGGGTGTGTGTCCCACACAGGTACACAGGGCAGCCCTCGTGGCTAGGGTTGAAAGCTTGTGGTCACCATCTTGAAATTCTTAATAATTGTGTGTTTGGTTAGTGATACCCCGTGTGACAACGAAGCATGTGCTAGCGGCTTGGTGTCTCAACTTACAGTCAGGGCCCCTCTCACCACCTCCCACTTCCCTAGGATGAGCTCTTGGCCAACTGTTTCCCTGCCCCTACCCAGTGACCTCTGCCTCCTTCCATCTTGGGAGATGAAGGGGTTGGGCGCAGGTTTGAGAAGGGTCCAGGTGAGGCAGGGAGTTGCAACGTGAAGCCAACTTTCTTCACTAGGCATCTGTGTCCCCAGGTCTCAGGGTGGGACCCCAGGTTTCTCCAAGGGTCTCACACACTCTGTAAGAACCCTGGCATTCTCTCAGGAAGCACGACGTAAAATAGCAATGAGAAACCCACCACTATAGTTCAAGAGTGAGACTGGAAAAAAGAGAAAAGCTTTTCTCCTGCTTTTTGAACAAGGAGCCCCACATTTTCATTTTGAACTGGATGTAGCTGGCTCTGAGCAAAATTGAGGATGGACAGATAGGTTGGACACAGACTGCCAAGGGCCTTGAACACTGTAGAGCTCAGCCTTTGCTGTGTAGGCCAAGGTTAGAACACTTTTTCTGTAAAGGACCAGATTGTGACTATCTTGATCTTTTCAGGACATATGGTCTCAGCTGCAGTGACTCAACTCTGCTATTATGGGGTAAAATCTGTGACAGAAAATACATAAACCAATGGGAATAGCTGTGTTCTAATAAAACTTTATTTAAAAACAGACAATGGTGGCTCAGTGCCTGTAGCTCAGTGGCTAGGGTGCCAGGCACATACACCAGAGCTGGCAGGTTCAAACCCAGCCCAGACCTGCCAAAAAACAATGACAATCACAACCAAAAAATAGCTGGGCACTGAGGCAAGAGAATTGCTTAAGCCCAAGAATTTGAGGTTGCTGTGAGCTATGGTGCCACGGCATTCTACCAAGGGTGACATAGGAAAAAAAAAAAAAAACAGACAGTGGGCCAGATTTGGTCTTCAGGCAATGGTTTGCCATCTCCTGCTGTTATAGGCAAGAGAGAATCATAGAAGGCATCTGAGCAGCAGAAAGGCACAATCAGAGAGGGCCAAGATTCACAGGGTCAGCAGAGTTGAAAGAAGGGGTAAGTCAGGGAAACACAAAAGTCTCACCAAGATGCTGACACCAAGGCCACTGACCCGCCTGGTTCCTTTCCTGTGCAGAAGAGAGGAAGAGCAAGAGGAGGGTCCGTACCACCTTCACCTCAGAGCAGCTGCAAGAGCTGGAGAGGATCTTCCACTTCACCCACTACCCAGACGTCCACACCCGCAGCCAGCTGGCAGCCAGGATCAACCTCCCGGAAGCTCGGGTACAGGTATAGCCATCCCTGCCTCAGTCCCTGCCCCATGCCCTCGGGTCCCTGGCGGAGAGGCAATGTCTCCCGAAAGTTTCCATTGGCTTGATCCACAACCAAACAGCCAAGTATTATTTTCCAGGAAATGAGGCCACCTTGTTTCTCCTTTTTGGGAATGGAAAGGAGAGAGGTGGCATCAGTGACCACCATGGCTCTCTGCTCTGTGTGCTTCCTCCCCACTTGGTGACAGTTCCAGAACATTGTCCACCATACAGCCTCATTCACAAAATAGGTCTTGACAATCTGGACCAGGGATCTACAAAGTTTCTTTAAGGAGCCAGAAAGTAATGACTTTAGGCTTTACAGGTGTACAGTCACTGTCACGGCGACGGTTCAACCGGGCCATGGGAGCATAACAGCAATGGTGGGTGCCAACAGCACTTCCTTCATGACACCAAAATTTGAATTTTGTATTACTTACCTGTATCACAAAATATGAATCTTTTAATTGTTTAACCATTTAAAAATATAAAAACCATCCTTAGCTCATGGCCATTCGAAAACAGGTGGCAGGCCAGACTTAGCCTAAGGACTGCAGTTTGCCAACCTCTGACGTAGACCACATAGGGATCACTTTGGAGACAGCACGTATGTGACAAGGACCACAGATCCGTGGTCAGAGACCTAGTTCAAGCACCAGTAGCCTCACTTATCTTCTGTAATCTCTTCCCCCCAGAGCATCCATTGCTTATAAGATTGGAGACACAGAAGGCCACTGTCACTCACCAGGACCACATCCTGCCCTCTTCATACGTCCCTAGTTTTGCAAGTGCCACTCTTGCATAGGGGATGTCACCAGACCCAATCATGGCTCTGGTGGCAACTCACTCAGACACAGTTTCCTAAGTCATTCCATTTTTATTTTTGTCCTAATGCAAAGTCAGGCCACCATTCCATTCTCTGTGCTCTCCCAACCTCCTTTCCTTCTGGCGAAGGACCAGCCCTGTAGATTTCTCCCTTTTTTCTTCCCATGTGGAATCAGGTGCCAGCTAAGTGGGTAGCACCTGTGCCTGCCAGAGCCCAGAATCCCGCACCTGCCTCAGCAGAAATTCCACATATGAAATGGCCACATGCCAGGGACCATCAGGACACTCAAGAATAAGAGGAGCTGCCCATGTTCAACCTACAGATGCCAAGAGGCCCACAGGGTCGCAAACTGGTGGCCTGCCAGTGACCCACATGTGGCTTTTATTTTGTCTGCACAGCATTTTAAAACATAGAAACTTTCACATAAAAATGAAGATGTCCACCCTGGAAATGGCATGAATCTGCAATGCTGGACGCACACTTGCATGTGGTGACTGCCAGCTAGAGCTGAGAGCTATCGCCTTCGGGCTCTGTTCAACACAGACCCTGCCATTCCCTGCTCGGTGTGGCACCCAGCTGCTGCTCTCAGGCAGGACCCCAGGCCCCACAGGCCTTGCAGGTTGCAACCCTGATCCCCTTGGGAAAGCTGACCTCCAGCTCCAAAGAAATCTTGGATGCCACAGAGCTTTAGACTGGAAAGTGCAGCCCCTGGAAAGGCATCATTATTATGTGTTTGAAGGAGGTGGTGCCCGATGGAGGAAAACTCTTTTGCTTACCTTCATCCTCTCTCCCTCACCGCAGATCTGGTTCCAGAATCAGCGGGCTAAGTGGCGGAAGCAAGAGAAGATTGGCAGCCTTGGGGCTCCACAGCAGCTGCACAAGGCTGACGTGACCCTGCCCACAAATCCAGACCTGGTGGTAAATGCTGAGTCCTCAAGGGGAGGTTGGAGGGAGGCATTGTCTGGGACATGCCAGCCAGAGCCAGATGTGAGGAAATGGCTCAGTGGCTAAAGCGCAAGGGGCTTGGAGGCTGCCCCCCTCTCTCCCCGTGTCCTCCTCCCCTAGTGATAATCATAGTGCCTGTCCCTCTTCCAGGGAATGGTTTATTTGTGCAAAACTTCACAGTTTACAAAACAGGGTCATAGGAAAGGGTCATAGGTCACAGGAAAGCACACTGCACAGAGTTTGGAGACATGGGCTCTGGAGTCAGACTGCCTAGGTTTGCACCCAGCTCTGCACTTGCCTGCATTATGGCCTGGAAGAATTGCCTTGTCCCTCAGATGGGGTTAAGGATGAAACAGTAGAGACACAGAGGGTGCTTGGCACCTAGGAGTGCTCCCTACATATTAGCCATACACGGAGACAGCACATACTTCTGCGTGTGCACCAGGTGCTAAACACCGGAGATAGAACAGTGAGCAGAACAGACACTCCCGCCCTGCCCTAGGGGACAAGGCTTTTATGCACCCACAGTGATGTTCTGAGGCGGGATTTTTCATCTATCCATGTCCTGCTGATGCAGAAGTTGGGCTCTGAGAAGCAAAAGGACTTTTCTGCATCAAACAACTGCTGAAAGTGCCAGGATTAGGAGCAGGTTTCCCAGGCCTAAGTCATACATTTCTCCAAGCCTGCAGTGACCAACAATCCCTGTTCGCATAGGTCCACCTAGGACTTTCAGTGCTAAAGGCAGAAAGTCCTGGACAAACCAGGACGAGTTGGTCACACTCCCCATCCCAAGCTGCCCAAGTCATGGGGGGAAAGGCTGGGGGCTTCAGGGACATTCCAGGATGAGGCCAGGCACTCACTTCTCTCTCCTGACCTCTCCCTTGACAGGGCCCCGTGCTGATGTCCCCTGCTCTGCACAGGCCAGCTCCTCCCATGGGGGGTTGTCCACCAGCTCAAAGTCAGCCAGCCTCTGCCTGGTTCCCTGCCTGGATCACCCTTCTCCCACAGCACCCATGGGAGACACAGCCTGTCCCAGGTCCTCTCGTCCAACAGACCTGCATCCCCACGCTATGCTTCCTTCCACCTCCGCACCCCAAATGGAGCAGTGTCTGTGCTACTTTGACATAGGGATCAGACATCCTCTCTCCAAATGAGCCACTCACCATTCCAGGTGAAGACAGGTGGCAGGAGTCCCCTGGGCCCTGGAGAGAATCAATCTCACAATCCAAAGATGGCCCACAGCCCCACAAGCTACCCTGAGCAGGCTTGTTGGAAGGCTGCACCAGGCTCAGCAGCAAAGTAAATGATAAAAGACGGCTCAAGTGTCTCCTGGTTCAGAAGACAGGCTAGATGAGATCTCAAGATGAGCTCTGGAGCAGGGAGCTCCTGCTCCTGCACCCGTGTCTCCTCCAACTTGCAGAGTGACCTCCACCCAGTCCCTTGCCCCCTCTGGACTTCATTTGTAACACGAGACAATTGGACAAGATGACTTCTAAGGACACTTCTGACCCTTACTTTTGGTGAGGTGAACCATGGTGAGCATTGAGACACTGAGGAGGCCAAGAGAGGCTGCTTGTGCATGCACACCTGCATTCATTTGTTCATTCATTCATTCATTCATGCTGCTACTGAGTGCTGCATAAATGGGACTGGATATAGAGATAGACAAGTTGGGTTCTATACATTTGGATCAAAGGATGGTGCTGACCTTCCCTCGCCAGCAGAACGCTTGTTCAATGACCTTGCAGTTGGCCCATGTCTAGCCTATTCTTTGTGGTTTTAATTTGCACATCGCAGAGTAAGAGATAAATATAGGGATTATTTTTTTTTAACAAAACAGAATTTAGTGTCTTTAGTTATTCCACAGGATTAGGAAGAGATGTTGTCACTTCTGGCAAGAATAAGGAGTAAGACAGTAGGCTCTTTTCACCCAGTGGACCTTTCCGGGATATGTACAAGCGGACCAGTTGGCAGACCAGCCCTACTGCCCTGGAAAGACTGAGATTCCATCCCACCCTCTGTTCCCTTGCAGCAAGACCTTACGCAGATCCCTGCACTGTCTGAGCTTCAGTTTTCCTGTCTAAAATGGAGATAGGAACCTCCCACCTGCCCTGCCTCAAAGAGCCATCAGGAGGCTCTGAGAGGAAGTGATGGTACTTTGCCAAGTGGGAGAGTTAGGCCCAGTATGCACTGATGTTGTTATTCCCAGACTGCAGCAGGAAAGTGGCTGCTTTGGATCCCAGCCCTGAGATGAGACCTGTCCTTGCTGGGAGAGGCCTGCTCCCCTGAGCTGGACAGTCTGGACTGACCTCTCTGCACAAGTCTGAAGTTAAGTTCCAGGAACCTTCCCCAAGTCCCAGAATCTCTGCAGTCTACCTGGGGCCTGACCGACCCAGGAGTTGGTCTGAAAGTTGGGGAGCCTCAGTCTCGTCCTGCACTTCCTCTTTGCTATGCAACCTCACCATTTAAGCCTCAGTCTTCTCATCCACAAGCTCAAAGTAGCAATGCACTATGCCAGAATACACAAGCACCCACAGAATGAAAATACACTTAGCAAACTTAGAAGTGTCAGATCACTCAAAGCCCATGAATGTGGCTACCAACACACAGTCTTTGGACAACTCTGGCTGGAAGGAGAAGGCTAGGGACCAAGGGGGAAATGTTTCAGTTACAAAAGACAGGTAGCTCATAACTTGGGTAGCAGGTGCCCATTTGATGGCCCCAAACCCATGTGCAAAATGTAATTTCTAGCATTTTGCTGTGACTGGATTTATTTTCTATGTTGTTTGCGGGTACAGACCCTTCGGGTTTAAAGACAGCCACATTGGAGAACGTCCCTATCTTTTCCCCTCCTTCCCACAGGGATCTAGTTTCTAGGCTGAGGGTGAGAAAGTATTTGGTCAAAAGACACAACAGTCTCTCGCGGGAAGGGATGTCCTCTTCCCAGCACCTCAGTCCCCCTCTGGCATCCACTGAGGTGAGTTTATCTGGTCTGACCTTGGGGAAGCACCACCTCATTCAACCCCCTACTGGGGGTTCACTCCTCATCCTCACCTGCATCCTCCCACCCCAGTCACAATGTCCTCCAGCTTCCTCTCTCTCAGGAGCAGGAGGAAAAGCTGAGGGTTCTGTAGCCATGGGAGCCCTGGGCCACACAGTGGGTCTCACTTATTCTAAACCTCCTGTGGCCGTTCCACATGCCCTGGTGATAGGGCATGGATGAGCTGATGATCTCCAAACGTCCAAGGGGAGTGGGAGAGGCGCAGGTCCCCCCTGCTCTGGGGTCCCAGCCATATACCCTCCTCTCCCAGGCTCCTCTAGAAACAAGATTTATCTAACCAAGAAAGGTTCAGGTGACCAGATGTCTCAACTTCACTGCTGCAGCAAGCATTGGCTTTGAGGGGACATCTCTTCCATATTAGGGAATTTCCTCCACCCTCCAGGAACCACTTTATTCCCTTTGCCTTATATCTTTGAGACCAAGGAATCATGTTAGAACTCTTACCAGCTGTGCGACCTGGGACAAGAGCCATCTCCCCTGTGTACCTGTTTCCTGAATACTAACAGCAGTTCCTTGTGTCCTGGGGTTTCTGTGACAGTTGTAGGAGTGAGTGCATTTTAGTACATAGTAAGCACTCAACACATGTTAAGAAAAAGTCATTTTCCCCCAAACACTTTCTGCCCCTTTCTGCTTCTGATCTAGAACAGCTATGCTGGTCTCAAGCTCTGTCCCAGGAGTTCCTTTTTTTCTGAGACAGAGTCTCACTGTGTTGCCCTCGGTAGAGTGCCATGGTTTCACAGCTCACAGCAACATCAAACTCCTGGTCTAAGCGATTCTCTTGCCTCAGCCTCCCAAGGAGGTGGGACTACAAGTGCCCACCACAAGGTTGTAGTTGTTATTGTTGTTTGGCAGGCCTGGGCTGGATCTGAACCCACTACCTCCAGTGTATGTGGCGGGCGCCCTAGCCTCTGAGCTATAGGCACCGAGCCAGGTCCCAGGCATTCTTAAACCAGCCCTAGCAAGTCAAAGAACTCCCAGAGAGAATGTGATATCCGGTGCATCTGTGTGTTTATTTCTCCCAAGGAAAGGACTCATTATTTCATCCGCTCTTCAGAGAGCTCTGAGGCTTAATAATAATGATAATAAAGCATCCCTGTCAGGCATACCTGAGTCAGATCTTGACAGGCTCGTATTCTAGCTATGAGGACTAGAGACTTGAAAGAAACTCAAGGACGATTTTTTTAAGGTAAAATTATATAAATAATGCTATGGTTTGAATGTATCCCCCCACAAAGAAGTGTGTGTTGGAAACTTAATTGCCATCGCAGCAATATTAAGAGGTGAAACCTTTAGGAGGTGATTAGGCCATAAGGCTCTGGCCTCATGAATGGATAAGTGCTATTATCGCCAGGAGTGTGTTCTTTATAAAAAAATTATTTCAACCCTCTTTTTCTCCCACTCTTCTTCCCTCCCCTGCCTGGCCCCATATTCTCTCTCTCCCTCTTTTTGCCCTTCCGTGATGGGATGACACAAGAGAAGACCCTCACCAAATGCTGGCCCCTTAATCTTGGACTTCCCAGCCTCCAGAACTGTAAGCCAATAAATCTCTATTCATTATAAATCACCTAATCTGTGGTGGTCTGTTATAGCAGCACAAAATAAACTAAGACAAATATACAATGAACCAATGCCAAAGTTTTCTTTAACTCATTCCCTGGGAATGAGTTGGACGGATCCCTCTCCATTGCCAGTTTCCACTATAGAGGTTTGGAAAATCTAAGTACTTACTTGCTCAGCGGCCCTCACATCTGGGTGTGGCTTTGTGCCCAAGTTCTGCATAAAGTGTTCTAGTGGAAATCTGCTAGGGGATTTATGGGAAAGCTTTGTATTTTTTTCTGATAGAAGGGGCAGATGTAGCTGACAATCCTTTTCCTGCTTCTTCCTAATTTGAATGCAGATGTGATGGCTAGAGCTGAAGCAGCCACTATGTGAAGTAAAGGAAAGGTTAAGAGACTCATAGACACACTGGCCCTAATTCCAGATTCCTCATTATGTGAGAAATTTAAATCCTTATTTGTGTAAGCCATTGTTGGTTTGGTCTTCTTGCAGCTGAAAGCACTCCTATATGGTACAAATAGGTAACATTTCAGATTCTGCAATGAACACCTCTTGTTTGTCAACTCAATTTCCATTTCTCCTTCTGATACTCACACTTCAGGTTCCCAAGGGGATTCCACTCTCAATCCACATGGTTTTGGTGGTGCTGACTCCATCTCTTGATGTACCCTAGGAGGATCTGCCACCCAGCTTTGATCAAGGCATTTCACCCTCCTCCCCTACCCTGTAATCTTTGGGGATAGTTAGATTGAGAAATGGTGTGTACCTCAGGCACAGCCAACTGCACTCAGCCCTCGACATTTGTGGTGCCCCTTGGAAACAGTCTTTTTCTTTTGGTGTGAAAATGGAACCATCTGAGCCCAAGAGTCTGGCTGATACAGAGGAGAGAACACAGTGGAAGAAGGAGGCCTGAGCCTGGAGACACAAGTGAGCGACGGACCCAGCCCCCCCGGATTTTTCAGATACTTGAGCTGATACTCTTTGGTGGAGGCCAGAGCTTAAGCCAGTTTTCACTACAGCTAAAAAAAGATTCTCTTTCATTTCAGGAGTTTAGACACAGTGGTTAAGTGAGAGCAAATAGCCCTGAATAAAAGTTCTGAGCACAGAGCGGGGGTTCAACGCCTTGTCAAATGAATCCTGTGTGTTACTGACCTCTCTGCAAATGATTCACTCCAAGCTGGACAGCATGGCCCAGTGCTGAGTTCCTGGTCCTTGGATATCCCATAACCTCCTGCTCAGACCTTTGCCAGAGGCTTTAGCTCAGGCATTGCCACTGCCTAAGTGTGGATGTGCCCGAGAAACAGTGAACCAGCTCCCTGGCCTACTCTCTGTAGCAGGTATTTTCCACCTGGCTGTTCTCTGTATCTATTCCTCCAAGGTTATCTTGAAAGTTCATCCTATTTCTAAGAGCTCTTGGCCAGAAGACCCTCTCTGCTGTAATTCTCAGCCTGCCAGCCCCATGCAGCATTTTTCTCTGTGCATGGACTTGCTCTCCCCTTGTTTTTAGCCCCAGAGCTCCCTGTCCACTTCTCCTTGTCCCCTGAGTCCTGCCCTCTAGGCCCTTCATTCTCCCTCCTGTGACTT